GGGGATAACTGGGAAGGGGGCGGGGAGGATTTTCCTGGTAAGTCTGTTTAACCATTAATAAACTTATTTTTGTTTTTTGTTTGTTTGTTTGCTTTAACTAAAGGAACTTCTTAAACTTTTTAGTTTGTAACTGTGCATTGGAACTCTCCAAAAGGGAGATTTAAGGTGCTGCTTCTCTCCAGGTTGAACAGGGAAGCCGGGCTCTGAAGCACCAATGAACAGTTACAGTGGTAGTCCTCTGAAAGCAATCTGGCTTTCCTCTATTCCAATAACCTTTTGTGTAATAAATCATTCTTTCATTTGTGCAGTACCCTTTAAAGCCTGTCTGCTTAATCTTTAATTGGTTAATCAGTTACAAACTCAAATTATATACTATGAAAAATATCACAGTAGATCACAGTGTTGTCACCTTTCCCCTGTAGACCTCTGACATTCTCAAGCTTTACAAAGATCATCTCTCACATTAATTACTGCAGTGTCCTTGAAATAGAGAATAGCATAGTTATTACTATTTGCAAAGAGAGCATACTTCTGTCTCCTGCATGTCAGGAGCCCACCTGTGTGTGTGTGTGTGTGTGTGTGTGTGTGTGTGTGTGTGTGTGTGTGTGTGTGTGTTGGAGGATCTTGAATTAGGATCCCCTTTTCTGTATATGTGTTCCTTCCGCTCTTGACTACTTATCCTTTAAGATTAAAATTGTGTCCCCACCTCCAGGAAGTCTTCCCTCACTTCTGTCTTCCTCCTTCATTCAGGTGCCGCTTGTCTAGGCTCTTCTGTCTTCCTCCTTCATTCAGGTGCCGCTTGTCTAGGCTCCCAGAGCACCACATTTACTAAGTCTACAAACGCTTGTTGGGTAATTTCTATATAAAGCACCTGGCTTGATACTGGGAATTCAAAGATGGGTGAAACCAGTTTCTCAGGAGTTAAGACCCAGCCCAGCCCCTCCCAGACTGCATTGTAATTGTTTGTGTAACCTGTCCCTGCTATAGGACAGTGCCTGGCATAAGGTAGGTGTTCCATTAACAACCGGATGAATAAATAAAAGACCTCCACTTCAGCAATATGTTAATCATCAAAAGGAAGCTCATTCAAGGCTTTGATATGTCGTGAACTTCAATTAAATTTCACTGAAAAAAGCTGCTAATAAACTAAATCTAGGTGCTGAGATGGTGGGGGAGGTTCTTTGCTGCTCAACTACTGTGGTGGTGTTAATTAAACAGGAAAGAAAGATGGAGTCTCAGACACTGGCTTGTTTGGGGCACAGGTGGGCCCATCCAGCTGGTTCCCAAAAGAGACAGAATAACCTCTCCCACCCTCTGTTCCTGCACCACTGTCTATCCCATCCAAACCAGCAGCTTCCTTAGAATACAGCCTGTGGGATCTCTATCTCTGATGAAATTTCTGGCAGTAAACGTGGCATTGAAAGAGATCCTTCTTGCTCACATTGATCTAATTAGTCTTCGAGAAAAGCAATGATTACTGAATAATGAAGAATTTTTCTTCTAGTTGTTAGTCGGTCATTTTGATAGCTGGAATAAAGTAGACAATTTTTTAGATACCTTTTTTTCTACTAAATTTCCATCCTGAATAAAGACTAATATAAGAAAAAGTCTCACTCTCATATAATCGTTAAACATGGTTAGTTTGTTTAGACATAGTGGAACTTTGTTATGATAAATTGCTTAAAAATAGAACCAAAATAGGAAGAAAATAGAGATGCTTTCTTGTCTCTCTGTAGCAGATTTCAAGGGGAAAATGTGTTTTGAACCCAGTATGGGAAAAGGGACTGTTCAGGTACTTAGTTCACAGCCTTTCCTCATCAATATGTGGGTGTTTTAGCATTGTAATTCATGTCTTTCACCACAGAGTATCTTGAGATGAGTATAAAGAATTTAATTCTTTTAGATAATCAATGGAACAATTACTTATTGATCCTATTTTATGAGCACCCAGGGCAAAAAGCTTCCTTCTGTGCAATCCTCACAAATCTCAAATAACTGAGTTCTTTGAAGGTACTTTGTTACCTGGGTAGAGACAAGAGAAGCATTTGTTGTGTGGGAGTACCTGTGGTAGAGTACTGTTTGTAAGCACACCTTCCAAGTATTGTGTGGACATGAATTCAAGATGCAGAACCCCATTAGAAGTGTTTATGAGAAATCATTTGCCTGCATTGGACAATCTTTTTTTTCCCCCCTTTAAAAAAAATCTACTTTTGCTTCAATAGAGGGAGATTCTATGATTAAGATACAATAGGGCAGAGGGTTAAGAGCATGGGTTTTGAAACCAGACCACCTGGGTTCAAATTGTAACTCTGCCATTTAAAAGCTGTGTGACTTTTAGCAAGTTACTTAACCTCTCTCTGCCTTGATTTCTTCACCTATAAGTTGGGGTGATGATAATAGTACTTACCTACCAGTATTGTAAGATAAAATTAATCGAGTAATTAACATGTTAAGTGCTTAAATTAGCGTCTGGCACATAATTAGTACTATTATTATTAATCCCCTCTACTCCCACCCTGGGCTATTTGAACAGAAGTTGTATGAGCTATGGCTACCCTAAAGCTACTGAAAATATAGAGCAGAGATGTATCTTTTAGTGTGAATCCAAGAAGGGTCTCCCCAAATGCATACAGCTAGAAGCCAGACTTAGAAATGGTAAATAATCACTGTCGGATCCCTAGCCTGTATGTTTCCCTAGAGCACGCCACTTCCTTTCCAAACATGAATTTCATGTAAGGGGAATGTAAACATTTAAAGACAGCTGGGAAGAATCAGCGCTCCATATGAGGATATAAACGGATACCTGCCTTTACTCGATGCCGAATCTCTGAAAGGACTATCTCTGAAACAAATATTTATTTTAAACTACACAAAGCAAGTTGTCAGTTTGGAAGAAAACTGAAGATTTTAGTCACTCTTCTCTGTTAAGCATTGCAGAGAGAGAGAAAGAATGCGTGTATGTGAGCGCGCGCATGCATGTGTGTGTGTGTGTGTGTGTGTGTGTGTGTGTGTGTGTTGGGGGGTACAGGGGAAAGATGCTGTGGTTTATACTAAAAAGGGGTTAAAATTCAAAGCAGACTGCACCACCACGGGCAAAGAAGGCCAGACCTTGTCTTATTCCAAGTTCTGCCACTGACGAGCTCTGATGCCACCTTGGGTGAAACCCTCAACCTCTGGGGCTTCAGTTTCCTCAGCTATAAAATGAAGGAGTTGAACCAGATGATTTATAAGGTTTCTTACAGCTCAGACATCCTATGACTTTATGAAGTAAATTCGATTTAGATGTATCCGGCAGGCAATAGAAACCAATGCTGGAAACTTAAGCAGGAAAAGGATATTTTTGCAAAGAGATTACCAGTAGCTCACAGAATCAAAGGGAGGGCTGGAGAACCAGGCTTTGAACCAAGGCATATTGGTGGGGGTGGGGTGTAGTAGGGTGTCTAAACGCAGGAACTACTCAACTCAGCTGCTAGAATGAACAAGCCCCAATAATATTTTCCTCCTTTGTGGCACTGCACTAATGACATGAGGAGATATCTGCTGGGTGAAGTGGGGTGGGGTGGTGGGGGAACTTCTTGTAAAGGTTTCTTTACTCTTAAAAAGGACATTGTGGTATAAGGATGTGATGACTGTTGGTGCTATGGCACCATCATTTAATACAATTGCATCTTGAAACCATGACAGGGGAAGGCGGAAGACACAAGCCAACAAGCTGAAGACGACAGAGAGGAAAGACAGGGAAGAACCTGGATGATTGATGATGTGAGTTCTTGAATTAACCAACCCTGCAAGCACCACTCAGAATTCCTGTTAGGTAAAACAATAAACCTTCTTATCATTTAGGTTATTTTGACTGAGGCTTGCTGTTGTTCGCAGATGAAACTATCTTAACTAATAACCCACTGTGGGGAGCCATGGTTACAGGTAATTCAGAGCCTTACAGACTGGCTCAGTTAATGCTTAACCTGTTTCTGCTCCTAAGGCATTGTCTCTGCCTGCACCTGGAGGGTGCTTACAAGTTGCTGAGGTATGTGGTGAGAATGGCCAGTTCCTTAGGAGTCACTATAGATAGATGGCTATCTGGGTTAATGGAAGAAAGTGTCCTGGGAAGCTAATCCCCTAAGGTCCCTCTGATCTTTAAGTCTCCAGTAGATAGTTAATGATCTGCTTCTGAATGAGGTAATGCATAGTTGTCCCTGCAGTGTTGCACGTACTCAAACTGCATATATTGGTGATGAGAAATAAACTCGGGGCTTCAGCATCACTGAAGACCGGCCGCATCAGCATTTGTGTGAGTGTCTCTTTATTCATTCCCACTCCCCCCTTCGGGTACTGATCGACTTGTGGCGGCTGGCCCGCCATAACCCACAAAGCAATATTCCTCTAGTAAGCAGCAATAGTATCTCCATATTTTCTTCTGGTAAAAAACTTAAACCCTCAGGGGAAAAAAAACCACAACTCTTCCAGAAGATTTTATGAAGTATTATTTTTTGCCAAAATATTCTGTTTTCTCCCTGCCTGTGAGTTCACAGTTCATCAAGTCTGTCAAATCACAGAAGCTTCCAAACTGCTTTGTCTTTACTAAAGTACAGGACTCCCAATTATCAGAGATGTTTATAGATGTATTTTTGGTTGTCATACCTCTAGGGTAATCTTTTAACATACCTTATTTAGATTTTAAAAATGTCAGAACTTTCTTTCACTCGTCCTAGGATCACCACCCATCAGAATAGCACTAATAGTTGAAGATGGTTAAGAAAGATGTAGACAGAAAAGAGAAGTAAGGTTAAAAAGAAGAGACAGGGAAGTAAACAAAGTCAAATTATGAGAACAAGCTGTCAGAAAATGAGTACAAGTCTCTATTCTACCATGTTTTACATGAAAGGAAAGAAATATAGTTGGGAGAGGGGGAGAGAGACAGACAGAAATCATCTACTGACAAAGGGAAAAAGGAAGATGCAATTCATACAATATTTGTTTTTTGCAAAACTTGGCTTTATTAAATATCGAGTAAGTACAAAAGTATATTTTAAGATATATGTAAGTTATATGAATCATAACAAAACAAGCTGTCATATACCCAGCACCAAGTTTATAAAAGAACGTTACCATTGTGTTAGAAATCACTGGTATATCGATATTTAATCCCATCCCCTGAGAGGTAACCACTATGCTGAATTTGCAACCAACATCTGTGAAAATCCATTAACCAAGATGAGTAGGTATGGAGAAGTGAGTCCTGGTCACTGGGGACTCAGAAGCTACAGAGATGCGGTTCCCAGTCTCACAAACTGGTGGGGAAACAGACATGAATACAAGTAGTTGATGTATGAGGTTGGATGTGAAAAGTACTGTGGTAAGAGGACTAAATCTTAGGGAAACACAGAAAAGAGACATTATTCTAACTGGGGTGAGCAGGGGAGGCTCCTTGGACAAGGTAGCTAGCTGCTCTGCCTCTGCAGGGTGGAGAGGATTTCTACAGATGGAAGGAAGGGGCAAATGACACAGTCAGAAAAGAGGTAAGGAGGAGCAAGGCAGTCTGAAGAATCACTGCTCGCCCAGGATGACAAGTATTGGAAGGGAGAGAGTAGAACTTAAGGCTTGGGCGAAAGTCGAGTTTGAAGGGAATCTTGTAGAAAATGAAAGTTCTTCTGGAAACCCAAATTAGCAGCTATAAGTATGGGCAATATTGTTTCCCCCACACATAAATCCAGAAGGTTGCCATCTGTGTCTCTTCTCTTCCCTTTTTCCTGCTCCGTCCTCACTCCCACCCTTGCATCAAATCATTTGCCTTGTACCACCAATTCTCCCTTCAGATCCTCTTCTCTATCTGTCGCTTTAATTCCACTGTGTCCACTTAATGACTGGACAATTCTGGCAGCCTTCTGACATGGTGCCATGTTTCTTCTCTGGCCTCTCCAATCTACACCTGAATTCACTTGCATGGAGAGCTAGGATCCTGCTCCTCAGCAGGACACAGAGGTCGAGGAGGTGAGTGTGGGTCACAGCTGGGGAGAAAGCCTGCGGTGAAAGCCACAGATGCACACTAGGCTACAAGTCATAGGGAAGGGGCACAGGGTCAGTCAAGGTCAGATTTGGTACCAATTGAAAAGCAGGGAGTGCTAAAAGCCAGAGTCAGTGGTGAGATTGGAAGCCATGAATCACACCGGGCACCAAGGACGACAGATTCCTTTTTATTGGATCCAGTTGGGTAGGGAGGAGAGCAGAGCTACCAGGCTAAGGGAGACACGCAGGACCAGCAACCATGCAGCAGTTTCAGTCAGATGTCTTCTTCAAGGCCATGGTTAACCGAGCATCTTTGCAGGCCTGGAAGAGTGCATTGCTGGTCCTCTCAGTTGGAGCCCCTTTTCTCAGGCACCTCCTCCAAATGTTGTGTTCCCTTTGCCCATCTCTACCCCACAGTATGTGGTGCTTATACAGGGAGTAGCACAGGCTTTGCAGCCCAATAGACCTAGGACTGAATTCACATATTAGCCCTGAGACCAAAGGCAAATTGGTGAGCTCCTCTGGCCTCAGCTTCCTCAGGGATAATGACACCTGCTTCAAGGAGTCCTTGTGAGGAAGAAATGAAAGTATACAAGGCATGTGCCTGATGTATAAGGGGTTCAGTAAAGAGTTTTTATCCAATATATATTTATTAAGAACCTACTGTGAGCCAAGCATCATGCCAGCTGCCAGAGATACGGTGGTAAGTAGAACCCGTCTATAGAAGGAGACAGAAATTAATGAATAACCACAAAAATAATTGTAGATAACAGACATGAAAAGGGCTATGAGACATGAGAAAGTATATACTTGGGGGATTTTACCTATTCTGAGATCAGGAAAAGCCAGCTTCTACACTGCTCAAAAGCCACTTTCTTGAGAAGCCACCCTGATTCCCTCCAACTGGAAGTGATCCTACAGGCCCGTGAATTCTCAGTAGGAAGCGTGGAGTCTGTTAATGACACACTCATCTTGCTCTATTGTGTCTAGTATTACAATAGTGGTATGAACGTCCTGCCTCTTCTACCAGATTGTAAACCTTTGTGGGCAGACAGCAGGCCATTTACATCTTTGACTGCTTCACGGTATCTAAGTCTTTTATTTTAATAAATAAGTTAGCTTCCAGAAATCTGACACAATTTAACAGAAGTTGAAGTTTAATTTATGTCTTTTGTAAGCCAAGTTCTCATTGATTTCCATGTCATTAGTCTGAACATAATAGAGATGAGAAAGAAAGTGATAATTTGGCTTCTCAGAAATTGTATAATAACCGTACCTCATGGGGTGTGATACCCTTAAACTTCTGTTGAATATCCCAGACCTGAGCCTGACTCACCCATTCATCAGGGACATGGGTAAGAAAAAGTGAGACTAGTAGACTTCCAGTTGCCAAATCTTCAAACCTAAATTTTACAATTAGAATCTCAGTTTGTGATCTGGCAAAAAAAAAAAAATGAAGTAACAGAAAAACTTCTGTGTGCTGAAACATTCATTTCTATTAAGTTGCTAAATAGTAAACTTGACCTTCCAGTTAAACTCTGGAAATCTGCTCAGCTAAGCAATTTTAAACAAACGATGCCAGGAGATTAAATTCCACCTTAACTCTGGTAAGGTGTGTTTATATTTTTCAATGTTAGGAGCTGCCCTCTTATCTATATGTGCTTTTATTGTAATTAATAACTATAAATATTGTTGACATCAACATAGCTACAAAAATATGAAAGCTACAAGAATCAGAGGAAACATTTTGCTATTAGATTTAAATATTCAAGTTTCATTTAATATTTCACTTAAATTCATTTCATTTTAGTACCTTTGAATTTTTTTTAAAACATCCTAAGTGCCAAAAAGAGGCAAGATTTATAAATCCAAATAAATGTATAAACAAACAACCCAGGCCCTCTAAAGTAACTTGCTGAAAAGAAACAATCAATTTGTACAGGAAAACCTATCAAGTCAGAATCTGCCTTGATCCTGTTATTGATTCCTCAAAAATCAAAATATTGGGACTATTGTAAGCTGTATAATGATGGATAACAAAGAAGAATAAACATTCTCTTGTTATTTCCATGGGTTTCATCAGCTTATTTCCATGACTCATTTGGCTCTCTGACAAAACTCTCATTTCCTTGATCTCTTGGGTCCAATGAGTACTCTCCAGCTAGTTTTCACCAAACAGCCAGTATTCCTGCTATTTCCTTTTGTGCATTCTCAGCTGGTCTCATATATGTATTCACCAGTTAACTCATTCCCAAAATAAAATAATGAGTATTCTTAAAAAAGGTTTGGTCCAAATTGTCCAGAAGAATTCAGAAGGATGTTCTGAAGATTAAAAAAAAAAAAAGGCAAATATTAATCACACAAAAGTTTTGTTAAGTATTACCTGAAAAAAAATAGTGGGAGACAATTTCAAAACCATTTATCAAAATGGTATCTTATAAAATCACCCCAAAACTTCCTAAAGTCACTGAATAAGGGCTCTTCCCAATCCTGTGTTATGCAATGGAGCCTCCGTTATATCCAAGAAGGCAGTGTGGTTAGCGGTAATAAAAAGCTCAGCCTAGGACCCAAGAAACCTAGGGTCTCCTCTAGCCCCTGCCAATTCAGTATGTCTGGGTTACTCTCCACTTCTCTAAAATGAAAGTGTAAGTATTCAGCCAGGTTTCTTTTGGTTATAACATTCTATGATTCTAGTAGAGAGACATAGGAGTTGGGGCAGTCCTTGACTCAAAAAAATACTTATTGAACATCTATTAAGCACTAGTCAATACATCCTCTGAATGAGGGGGTCTTTCCATTATGCTCCCAAGTCCCCTGTGAATACCTCTATCATGCTACTTGACACTATATTGGAATTAGGGGGTTCCCTAATCTGATTCCTCCACTGACTGTATGGTATTTTTGCTAATGAGCAGCAGAATTCTTGGCATACAGTAGGCACTCAAAAAGCATTTGGTGAGTAAACAGATGGGAGCTCTTCATATGCAAGGCTGAGCATCCTATGATGAAGACCAGAATGAGAAGTATCAAGCAGAATATCCAGTACTATTCCATTAAAACAATGGTATGATTACATTATAGTCTCCTCAGGAATTTCTGAGCCAACAGCAGACCCTGGTTGCACTAAGAGCCAAATACTAAGGCCAGCCTCTCTCTAGCCCTAAACACAAACATATTGTTGGCACTTAGCTTTCAGTTTGATGTATTGAGCCGCCTATGCTGTTGCCTCCCCAGATCTGCTCTCCACTTTTCCCCACCCTGCTTGGTACCCTGGGAGACCAATCAATCTGTGTGAACTGCTTCAACCTGGTTTCAGTGTCCTGTAGCCCTGGTTGTGTTTGGCCAATGGGAAGTACTAGCACATTGGGTAAAGGGAGAGCAGCCAAGCTGGGATGTTCATTCCCTCTCTTTAGGGCAACCACGAGCTGTTGTGTCCTGTGACCAAAGGACACAGCTCCTGTCAGCAGCCCTCTACGCATATTCTGTCTGTGTGTGTCTGTGTGTGCAAATGTCTGCCTCTGTCTGTCTGGGTTCCCTGCCCCTTTAGCCTTAGGAACGGTATCAGTGCCCCACTGTTACTAGTCCTAGGGTGCTACACTCTCCTTTTTAGTTTTGTCATGTCCTGGCTTAATAGACCCTTTATTAAATTCAATGGGAGTACACCATCGGTTTCCTACTAGGACATTGACTGATAATTACCCAAACATTATGAAGAGTAAATGATCTAGTCTATTACCACCAAGTACAAAAGGATACTATTAAATGCTAGTGTCCTTTCTCTTCCCTGTTACAATTTTTATACTCCCTACAATGGTTTATCAATAGTGCCTTTAACACAATAGCTATTTAGTAAATATGTGTTTAATGAGTGAAAAAATTTTTCTAAGACACTTATGACTACAGTTTTGGATTCAAATACATGGAAATCAGTGTGCATTAATAATCTAGATAATCAGATGTTAAATTTAGAGAAATTTTTAATTTCAGTAGCTGGGGATCTGTGGGTAGTTCTGCTGTATAAATTGAATTTCTCTTTTTTCTTATGCTCCTACTGAAACAATGATTAGCCTGCTGGAATTATGACAGCTCCCGAAAACAGTGCCAAGGGATGAGCTGACATCTTAGGGGCACATGTTGTTGAACAAACTAAATAAATAGTTTACTTCCTGCACCTTGGAAAGTGTAGGAAGGACCAGTAAACTATTCATTTCATGTCATTTAATTCATATGAGCTTATTTTGCAAATTCATCACTTTCTATCTCCTACACATAGATAGAAATGTAGTCTGAGGTCCACTTTACCTCCTCAGATCTCTTTTTATAATGAATAAAGTCAAATCATCAATAAAGCCGAAGCATCACTCACCGTGTATACTGATGGTACTGATGCACCGTGGAAAGAACTTCTAGTTCTGGTATTGGAGCCAGCGTTTCCTTGATCTCCGTCAACGGCAGCCTCTGCATGGTCTCTAGTATTTAAGAAGGAGAGCTGTTTTAGTTTATATTTAGTGAACAGCAATGCAAACACACACACAATATTTTCTAATGTAGTAAGATAACCATACCCTCCATGTAGAAAGAATTTTGGCATTTCCACCACTCACTAAATTTCCTGCCTACACTTCTGATACCTTTAACCCATTTCTCTCAACTCTATTCCTTTCCTTTCATCCCTACTTCCTGGGCACACAACCTGAAGTATGGTTAAGAAGGAGCAAAGCAGAGAAAACAAAATTGTAAGTACAATGTGAAGTAGCAAGAAAAGAATTTTAGTTTGGAAACTAACTGCAAACATTTCTTTCTATTGCATATTGTTGCAATATGTCCCTAAGAAGAATATTAATGACATCCTTAGTTGCAGAGACAATTTCATCAAAAAGCAAAGTTACAAATTAGATGAATTCTATCTAATGTGTCTTTCTTTACTAAGACTATGTAACTTTATCAAATCCTTCTAATATTATCTTCAGCTGACTTCAGGTGGAGATGAAACTTCATGTGATGGCATAATGGTATCTCTTTTATTCCACTGGGGTCTTGCTTTTCTAGTTTTTATATTGATACTTGTAGGTTTTGCTTCACAGATGTCTCTACTTTTTATACAAATCCCTGAACATGGATGGAAATGAAGTGACGTATAATTTAAAGAGAAGTTTGGATAGTTGCTTCTTAAGTCATTCTTTACACAATTGGTAGCATACCACACACATATATACTTAAGGATATATCTTAGCGATCTTTCCTCATAAGCATTTTCTCATTCCTTTTTACAACTTCCTGGTATTTCATAGTATGTGTATCATCAGGTCTTTAAACAGTCTCCTATTTAGATTTTTGTTTAATGTTTTCACATTAGAAACACATTAGCAATAAACATTTTACATATATCATTTCTTTTCCATGTAAGTAAATCTATAGGACCAATTGTTAGAAATAGAATTGCTGGCTTAAAAAGTTTGTATGTGTTTGTAACTTCAATAGTCTGTTTACAGACATCCAGGTTGATTCTGATGTCCATTAAAGCTTCAGAGAATGAACCTACGGTGCAAAAAACTGCTTAAACAATTAGGTTAAAATATCAAAAGAGCCTATTTATGAAACTAAATAATTATCAAAGAAAATTAACAGAGCTCTTTGGGTTGGAAAGCCAAACTGCTCACCATTTGCTTATTCACTTGGTTTGCTGGATATTTTATAGTATGGTATAACCATATCATCATAATTTACTGTATAAAGCTATTATCTGTCAAAATGATGGCGATCCCAAAGTAACTCTCTAGTGGGGCATCATCTTCTGCTTCTCTTAGTATCAAAAGTCATGTAACTTGTATGCTAATAGCAAAACTTCTGCAAAATTGAAAAAAGGCAAAAAGGTAAGATATGTCATTTTAACACCTTTTTCAGAACAGTTAAAACGAGTGAATTTTTTTTTAAACAAGTGGAATTTGTCGTTGCTGTTGTTCTATACTGGAAAATAGAGGTTTTTTTCCAAATTATATTAATTCACCAACACTAGTTAAGGCAGCAGAAGCAGCCAGAAATATTTTACAACTTCACAAAAGTCTTTTCATGAATTCATCAAATCTCTGAACCAAACATTTCTTTGACATTTTTCAGGAACCTCAGAAGAGCCTAAAAAATTAAAAAGAACCTCAGCTGGAGTTTTGACCTGGCTGAATCTAGTGAACAAAATGGATTTCCAGCGGCAGAAACTTTGATTAAAAATAAAACTTCATGCCTTATGTTCTCGAATAATGCCCCTATCACACTGCCCATGACAATGTCCAGGTTGCCCTCTGATAATTTTTTTTTAAAGATTTCTATCACTTTTCAAAAGTGCTTTGTATCTGTAACATGGGGTACCTAACCTCAATTCATCCTTCCACTGTAATTTTTGATTCCCACAGAGTAACAGAAACTTGCAAGGTGTTTTCTTCATTTTTGTTACTGACGGTTTTCATGTCAAAGACAAGGCACATCTCCTACAGTGAGGGTACATCTAAAACTTCCTCATCCTGCCAGGCTCTCTTGGCTGCTAAGGGAATTTGCACCACCAATTTTTTATACTCATCTCCAAAACTACTTGTTCAACTAAATTTTACTTTGTTATTACAATGGAAAGCCAAAACAGCTAAAAACAAATCAGAGTAGTAAGCAGGGTTAGATGTCCATGCTATATATGACCCTCTGTGACCTCTGCGTCCCCACTAGTGACTGTATCCAATTTTGTTGTAATTGCTTGTTTGTCTACCTCCTTGTGTACAATGATTGTTTTTTGTTTTTTGTTTTGTTTTGTTTTGTTTTCTTTTTGAGGGCACAGCTCAAAGTGGCCCATGCGGGGATTGAACTGGCAAGCTTGTTGTTCAGAGCATGTGCTCTAACCAACTGAGCCACCCGGTTGCCCCCAAAGGTTGTATTTTATGCACAGTTATATTCCCCAGAACCCACCCTAGAGCATAACACGTAATAGGTACTCAGTAAATACATGTTGAATGACTGAAAGAATGTAATTTAATTTCCTGGTGTCTCGTTTTTCTTAAAAAAAGGGTGTGGCTAGAAGCACTGTAGGAAGTTAACTGGGGAGCCACCTTGCAATTTGTGGATAAGAAAAATAAGATTGACCTCTGAGAACTAATCTATAAAAACCCATAATGAGAGCAGAAACATGCAAACTTATCTTCGGAAAAGATCCCCAGGCCAAAGTTTGTTAAATGTTAAAAGAGCTGTGTTCAATGAGCCTATCAGGCCACCCCTAAAATGGGGAAGACCTTTCAAGCTATGTTGGCAAAGAAATCCACTTTTAGACCAACCAAACAAGCCTTAGCTGTGTTTTGACTTCCTACGTGGTTTTATCTAAGGAGAAAGAACACATGTGTTTGCTGTTAGAAGTGTTTGGGTCCATATTTCTCTGAATTTTATTACTCTTTGTGAATCAATAGATTGGTCTTCTAGTTTTATAAACCTGTTGGTGTGAGCTGAATAATACAATGGATCATTTTTGGTGTGCTGCCACTGTAGGAAGCGGAGCCCACAGGCCTGAAGGAAGACACCAACTAGGTAAATTCACCTACATGAGAGGCACCTGTGTGGCTTTGTGGGCGGCGGCAGCCAGGCAGCCTCTGCTGCCCAGGGTCCTGACCCATCCCCACGTGTGCTGTATAAAAGTTTGGCAGTGGGCAGCGACACCTGAACTACCGAGATTATTTCCTGGTGCCTTCGGCAAAACTAGTGGCTGCCTTCAGGCTAAGAGGAGGAAAATAAAGGTAAGGGTAAAATGAGGTAATAAAGGTGTGTTTTGAAAAATAGAAAGCACTACCAAGTGCAAAATAGAGTATTTTTACCAGCGTATCTTTAAGCCCACTCTAGGGGTCTGCTAAGAATTTAGCAGGACCCACATATGTGCTCAGCGGGGGAGGACTATGGGTAGCTAACCTTGTTCCCTCAGCGCGACCTTCCTCTCCTTCATACTTTGGGAGATTGAGCCATGAGTCTTTGTGGAGACAGTGGCAATAAATGTCTAAACTGTTACCCACAAAGTACTTGGTTTCCTCATAAGAGCTTCTCCAAAAATGAAGGCATTCAAGTTAACCTTCACAGATTACTGTGGTCAAGACAGGTGTGGACATTTTCTGATGGTTTGGTGATTCTTATTCAGTTCTGTAATCTGGCTTCAAAAATCATTCCAGTCTTAATGAATTCTTCTTATTGTAATGCAGAACTTCAATATTGCTATACATCATTCTAACCTTTTCATCACAAAAAAACCACGTTGGCACTTTTGTAGAAGCCCAAGATAGCTAATAGAACCAATTAGCTATGGTAGCTTTAAAGGCTGATAGAACCAATTATGGCAACTTAAAATAGATTTCCCTTATTTAGGTGCCAACTTCCTACTATGTTCAAAGCTCCATCTGTTATTATTCACAGAGATCCTAAAACTACTCATCTGCTTCAAATATGACCAATGTGAAAATCCAATGAGGACGGGAAAATAAATTACTGCAAAATTATCTAGAAATAACAGTTAAAGAGGAAAAAAAGCTCCTTCAACAGTTGCCAATATTCTGAGCTATTGACTCAGTTTCCAGTTCATTCACACTGCAAATATCTTTAATATTCCTAAGAATGAAACTTAAGTGTTTCATTCAAGTGTTTAACCATTTTCTTTTCATTATTTTGGATAGGCATTACCAAGAGTTATGATTTTGGGGAAAAGTATTTAAAAGGTCTTTGTAAAGTACAGCATTCGTTCATTCAGCCTAGTAGATGTAGAGTTGTATTTAGTTGATAAATATGTATTGAGCACCTAGTAAATGCCCTTATATGCACTATGCTATGATCTGGAGATGTAGTGATGAGTATTATCAGATAATATCCCTAATTTCAATGAGCTACCTTGCTCATAGACGAGACATCAATCTAAAACACAAAAATATCAAATAGCAACAGTAATAAATGCCCAAAAGAGAGACTTGTGGTGTTATGACAGCATGTAAGAAGGGGAAATGACCTAATCTGGGAGGTCCAATATGACTTCCCTGAGGAGGTGTTAAGTCAAGACCAGAAGGCGGGGTTGGAGTTTACTAGACAAGGCATGGTGGGTGGGAGGAGGGGAGATTTGCAGGAGGAGGTGACCTGGGGGGGGGGAGGAACATTCAAGCAGGAAGAGCCTGTGCAAAGATAGAGAACAAGTTTATCTGCATATGTTTTATCATCAATTCTTCCAGACCCGGCATAAATAGCTGCTGTGTAAAGGCATTCGATGAATGAATAGAATAAATCATCCTATTCTGCCTATAGATTCTTCACACTTAACGAATTTCTTCCTGCATATAGTCACCCTCTGCCTTTTGATCTATTCTGTAACCAAGCAGATGGCTATAATCTTTACTGTTTTGTGAACCAAATCTGTATTTTAAGAGTCATATACATTATAGTTAAGCGAGTAAAAATTAAATTTTCATGTTATCTTGCTTGGTTGCTAGATACCTGGCACTAGTAATTTATCTTCTCTTCTGTAGGAAATGGAAACCTGCTTAGTCTTTATTATACTGGCCATAAACATGTTGCAAATTATAATTGTTTATTGACATTAGTTTTATCTTGGGGTAATACGAATTACTGAGTCATCCACTTTTGTCATGTAGCAATTCTCTTTCACAATAAAATTCCATTTCCTTTGCTTCATGGTCCCTATGATCTCACCCACATTAACTGCAAAAAAGCATTTCAGCCAATGTTTTGTGGATGATGCACAATTGTCTTACACAAGCTTCTACAACCTTATAGGGGAAATGTCTCATCTCAGTTTCCAATGTTCGGTGTTAAACAGCATGAAGAGTTTTGATCTGTAGCTTGAACCAGCAGAGTTAAGCTCCCCAATTCACCATTGCCATTGATGTACTAGAAAGTACATTCGTTGGACAGAACTAAGTTTCAGCCCTGACTCTTCTAGGACCTGGCTGTGGATCAGTTACTTAAACTCTCATGGTTTCAGTTTTCTCATCAGGAAAAATATGAGGTTCTTATGAAACGAAACCAAATGATATATGTGAAAGTACTGTGCATATGGAAAGTACTTAATGAGTTTTTATAGTTTAATTAGTTTCCCTCTCCGAAGGCAACCTGGGGTAGAATCCCCTTAACTGTGATGTCAGCTCTGTGAAGGCAGGGACTATGCTAGAGTTTGTGCCACTGTATTGCCAATGCTTATTAAACACAATGCCTGTGCGTAGTTGGCGTTCTATAGATTTTGGTTGAATATTTGAAGGTGAAAAATTCCAAGTTTTAAAAATTTCAGCATTTTTGCTGAACATAGAGGGGAGAGACAAAATGACCCCTAATTGACCCAGGCAGCAGAAATAAGTGGAAGCTCTAATCCCAGAAAACTGGTGTTGTAGATATTTATTTATTGGCTGTTCAGCATGTGGACATCTCAGGGGAACTCTCAAGTAGTACTCAGGACAGAAGGGCAGATAATTCCTGCTTCCTGCTTCCCGGCACCTAGAGTATCAATCTGTGGCCTACACTCCATCAGTCAGATACTGCCCCTTGGGGCCTACAATCTTGGGCAGTGACGCAAAACTGCAAGGTGGTCTAAGGGTAGCTTTGGCAGCTTAGAGGGAGCGTCCTGTGATGGTGACACCAGCAAAGGCATTCTCACCAAACCAATCCTGTGGTGTGACTTTGACTGTATTTTTGGCTGGCTGGCCTCCATTAACTCCTCTTTATTTTCCAGGCTCAAGTACCCTAATCTTCCTGCTGCTTTTATGGGTTCCCTATTTTTTTTCCCCAATAAATTTCCTTTCTTCCAAGTCAGCCACATTGGTTTCTATTGTTTGCATCCAATGATTGGAGTCCTAGTCCACTGCTTCTGACCCTGGCCTTGGTCCCCTTATGTGGTCAACTCATTAAGCACTGTTTCTAGGGATGCATTTAGAAGTTACTTTTGCATAATTCTCAAAATCTCTTCTTCAACATGGTCAGTATTTTTCATTATTCTTTGATAGCCTTAGCAATCCTGTAAAGTGTGTTATATGTTCTTTGATGGAGTGGGATTATGTTCCTTCTGACCCTCTTTGTCTCTTCATTTTTTTCCCCCTTTCCCAACCCCCAAGATTTATGTCTTGCTCACCTTCTCTTTTTTACTCTATACTCATTTCCCTTTAGGGTTTGTGTGATTTAATCAGCTTTTACTGTACATGAACTACATGTTATATATTATGCCAGGGACAAGGATACAGACACAGGTGAATAAGACAGGTTCATCATCTGTGTGAAAATAATAGTTGAATGAATAAAATATAAGGTAGATTAAAACCAAGACAGGCAATGTGAGCAACCACGCTTCTCAAAGCAAAAACAAAAATATTGGAGACATGTAAAAGACTGACATTTGATCCTGTCTGGCATCTTTTTCTACAACGATGAGAATCATTGATTCCATCAGTGTTTGCGGTGCCCCCAGGCACTGTGCTGTACCAGGGTCTGAGCAGTCTCTCCTTATTTCTCTCTTGTCTTTTTGAGGGTGTGAGCCTATCTGTATCTCTGTGAGTACATGCGTAACAATACTTACTTTGTAATACATGAGCAACTGGAGAGACATTCTAGAATGTACAGTCAGAGTCGGCAGCAAGCTGCTCTGCTGAATGTTACGATAGTCGTTGCTGTCTTTGAACTACATTTTCTTTGACTCGTGTTACTGCTTCTCCAGAGACCCATGCTGGCACATTTTTTCCTTACATCCTCACTGCTGCCTATAATCCATCATCACAAAGAGAGGCCTTAAAAACGGCACTCAAGAGAGACATTATTTCCTTTCCATTTCTCTCTTAGAAAGAGCAACTTATAATGGAAGGGGGAACAATTGAATTTAGGTTAAAGGAATATAAATAACAAGAAGGAATCTGCTTCTTTCCCCATTTAAGATGCTAAGTCTCAAAAGGACTCTTGGTTTTCAAAAAAGCCACCGCCCCTTGGCCTGCTCTAAACATTAATATTATATACCTGGTAATAAAGCCAAGGGGATTTTAGTGAGTGCTATTAAAGGGAAAAGATGGCTGTGGCAGGTTTCTCTGGTGAATGAAAATCACAGGCTCATAAATACAATGTGTGAGGTTAGTCTTGTGGTCAGCTAGAACTTTAAATTTGTGATTCCCACGATTATGTGGGTTAACAGGGGAACGATTGACATTTTGTCAGACAAGGCCGCAGTGCTCAAAATTTTGACTTGAAAAGAGAAAGCACTGGGATTCCTAAGGCAACCAAAAAGCCCCGCAGAGCCAGGTTAAAACTTATTCCTGGTGTATGTATGAATGTCAGCCATGTGTACTGGATAAGAGGGGGGACTAGGGGAAGCGCCATTTTCTCCCTTTAAAAATTAATTTTGCCATTTGAAAAAACCCGTGATTTTCATGTCGTTATGCAAAATTGTCATTTACCGCCCCACATTTTCATCAGCTTTCCCCACATTTAGCTGGTGTCCAATGACTATTTAGCTAATGCTTATTATTAGCCATAGGTTAATAATTTTACTGCTAATGCTAAGAGTAGAAACTCTCTTAAAAAAAAAAGTGAGTTCTGTAGGTGCACCCAATCCAGTTTTTCCTCAAGCTAGGGAGTTGAGTACCTGCTAATTTAAATAGCTAAGAAAAGCCTGGGGAGCACAGTCCCCAATGAAATTCTGTGCAAATCCCCACGTGGCTACAGATGCAGCTGCGGTGGGGGGCTCAGGGTCTGCTCAGTTACTTTTCATTTTTGAAAATGGTTTACACACCAGACATGAAGCTTCCTTATCTAACTTCCAACAAAAGACAAGGAGCCTGCTCACTGGCTGTGCATGAGGAGCTGCAGTAATATCACTCATCGTTCTGTGCTGTCCAAAGACTCAGGATATTATTTCTCCCTGATGAGGAAGAGGCCTCTGCCCATGTCGTAGTCTCCCTCTCTTTCTTTTTCATGTGATTTTGACAGCTTGAATTCAGAAGGAGTCTTCACAATTAGAAGACAGAGACAGAACCACAACATCTGTGCTAATAGCCCCCTTGCTGCTCTAATTAGAATTCCCTTATTCCATTTCTATTTCTTGGGAGAGGACAGGGGATTTTTTAATTGGGGCTATTAGAAGCTCTCTTTACACAATGACACCCTCTGCTAAGTGAAGGCTCCAGCAAAAGTCATGCCCACTCTACAATTATTTCTTGCAATTCTGAGAATAATGGTATCTTGTCTCATTTAAAAATAAACCTGAGGCTTATTCCTTATTGCTTTCTCTCCTCTGCCTATTCACATGAATTTCTTCTGGCCAATTAAGCAAACCTTCCATTATTTAAGGAGGTAGTTTTGATCGTAACTGCCCCCGGATAATAAGACATTAAACTAGATATCATTTGCTCATAGTGCCTTTCTTCCAGAGACAAGGCTAATTTAAATGAGCTCAGATATTGCAATCTTGAGTTTATACCAAAATGGTGAAGCTTTGGGATTTCCTAAGCAGTGTTCTGTTGGCATGTCGCAGAGCTTACCTGAAATCACTCTCATGTTCAATGTTTGAACTTTCTCAGAACCACTTCCTCTGAAGAGAACAGATGAAGGTTTGTATTTATAACCTATTCCAAAAAGAGAAATTAAATATTTAGATGATAAACAAGCATGTTCTTAATATATATTCCCCATGTTGGTTTAAAGGATTACCAAAAGGTCCTGAAGTAGCAAGACACTGAGAGCTTTTCCGTATTTTCTATTAACAAATGCAGGTTCTTTTTAGAACCAGTGGCTTCTCCACTGCCACAAATGCTGTTACACCATCACCTCTAATGAAAAGCCCAGCTATTATGCACAGAATGTTATATTATTTATATTATGTTATATACTATGTTATAAAATTATATAATAATTTTATATAACATATGTTATATAATTAATAGATATGAGATACAGAATATTTAATGTATATTTAGTATTTAATACTATTTAATGTCCTAAATGATGTGACATTTTTCATTACATGCTTGGATTTTGAGGCAAGCCTTTCAAAACCTCTAGACCTTTCATCTGGGTAGATGTTCATAAGAACTTAATGTAACTTCCCACTATTCATCTCTTTCTAACTTCCCACTATTCATCTCTTTCTAGACACTTTTTCTATCTGGTTCCTATCTCTCTTTCCTAATGTGTAATTATATGGAAAAATGGATCAAGAAGCTCAAAATTATGCACTGTTTGCAACTAACATTTATTTAAAATAATATAATTTTCAAAACTAGAAAGAACCTCGGTCTCAATGCTGATGTTTTATTAGCTGCATAAGTTTGGACAAAACACTTCACCTCTCCGAGGCTCAGGGTTTTTTTCACCTATAAAATAAATGCACATACCCTGTTTACATACTTTGAGAATCTAATGAAAAATCTTGTGAATATGGCTATTCTACAAATATACAATATTATGATTATTAACCCATGTATTAGGGGTCTTCTATACTAAGGTATCAATGATAATACTTGATGTGAAACTGCTCTCAGAAGTATCTTCAACATATACTTAGTCAAAAGAATTAATGGCACTTTCACTCAAACCTAGAGGCAACCATTTGTTTTGCCTACTGAAATGACTAACAGGCCTCACCTGGTAAAGAACATAAGAGCCTTGGGAAATAATACAAGCAGCACAATACTACTCTCCTGGTTGAGGATATGCATTAGACACTGTGTTAAATTTCTTATGTAATCTCTTTAGTTCAATCCTTCCTCAACCCTCTGCAGTAATGGTGATTAGCCTTGTTTTAGCAGAGGAAAAAAGGGACACTCAGATACAGTGAGCAACATGTTCCAAGTCACATAACTAGGAAGTGGTAGTACTAGGATTCTAACATAACTCCACCTATCTCCAAAGCCTATTCTCATAATGATACATCCTCTTGTCTTCGAGAGACCAGCTACTTTCCATCGGGCCTGATATTCAGCCATTATATGCATGGGAACACACCAGTAGGACCATGCCAACAGTTAACAGTCAGTGACCATCCTGACAAGCGGGAGTTATATTAGTTATTAAATATTTTTAATATCGTTCCCACTGTCCTGATTTCCAATGACACATTTTAGCTCAACCTAGCCAAAAATCTACTGATACACTCACACTTATTGCAGGTTGGCTCACACTCACACTCATCACCTAGAGGCAGTCTGCCCAAGATCTCCAACTCTAAAATTCTTTATCACTACTCCTATTCTTCTCCTCCCTTCTGCCCTCACTCCCACTAATGCCTCTGCTCAACCTCCAGTCCATCAGCTCCTTCCGATTCACCCACCCATTTCTTCCCTACTGTTCACTCGTCTGGGTGGGAGGAAGACACATGAAGCTCCTTGAATGCTGGCACTGTGTCTTACTTATGCTTATGTGCCTAGAATTGCCACTTGCACACAGTAGGTGCTCAGTGAATGGTAAATTGAACTAAAAAAAATGAATTGAATCTATAGGTAAGACTAAGAGTTCTTTGAAACTAAATGGATTATCCCAAATGATGCATTTATTTCTCAATACTCACTCTGCCACCTCCGCACTCGTCTATGGTCTTCAAATATTTTGTGAATAACAAGGACGAGCAAAAATATGAAAACTAACATTATTAAAATATACCAAGTGATCTTCATGGAACAAGAGAAATCTGCAAAGAAAAAAAATACTATAAAAGTACAATAAAATGATCCAACTGATAAAAGGCTATGTGGTGGAGTAGCTGGGTTCTACTACATACCCTGCCCTTAACTAAAAAGCTGACTATATAACATCACTGTGGCAGGGTCACTTGCTCTCCTGGTGTATTAAATGAGGGTATTAAATAAGGTAACTTGACCAGGTGGTTTCCAGAGATCCATTTAGTTCCCAAATTCTAAGGTTAATTTCATTTAGGTTATGTTAATGTTAGTTTCACGATCATTCCTATTACTAGGTTAAAACCACAACATAGTAGAGTACCAAAATCAGAGCTACTCGTAATTAATAATTTTGGCTCTGGGCCAAGCAGCCAAAATTATAACCTCAAATCAACAATGATGCAGGGAGTATGAGGAGGATGGGGAAAAAAGGGAAAGACAGACAAAGAGAAAAGGCTGGACTGAGGCATTAAGAGTCCAGGGCAGGGGAACAATCACACCCCATTTCTTCAGAGGCTCTCATGGCAATGGTCAGATCAAGTGTGTACATTAATTAAACATGCAGTTACCCTAACCTAAATTTAATAAGGATACAGATAAAAACTGGTTCATTCAGGCAACAGTGAACCAACATGGGAAGTGTAGTCACCATCCAGCAAGAGCTTAGCATGGTCTCCTTTGGTCCCATAAAGACATACTGGACAGCTGACCCAGGAATCAGTGACTTAAACGAGGGCAACCTCGTCATGTCCAAGACACAACTGCCTGCTGACTTTTTCAGCCATCTTCTGTACCCTTTCCTTGCACCCAAACCACAGCTAGTACTTATGCAACTTAGCAAGATTTATAACTTGTTCATATCCTTGTGTGACTGCCCCTGTGGGCTCATGATCTGGGCATTTCTTTCACAGGACACCCCGCCATGGGCAGTTGTACATTAAATAGGCAGTCAACATTTATTTAGAGAATAGGCTAACTGGAGAAAAGGTAAAAGTTGAGTGGGATGTAAGCATTCAGCCTCCCCAATATCATTCCATGCTATACAGCTGCCAGATTTGCATTTCTCACTCAGCAGAATAAAAGCATGCAGTTAACTGAAATATTTACTGAGTCAGCAAGAGCCAAGGCAGGCCCAATGACCAAGGTGTCATGGGGCACTGATTGGTCAAGCTGTAAAAAAAGAACCATGCATTCAGCAAATTTGTATTGTAATATCTGAATGTGCACTAGTGGGGCTAGGCCAGCCAGTATAATCACCAAAGCACCAGAGTGAATACAGAAGAGTGTGTCTCCCCACATCCCATGCTGCCCACCTACATCCCTGCAGCCATCTTGGAGAGGAACAAGAGGAAACAGACATGAATCTGAAACAATCTAAAAATACAGTTTAAATTATTGTTTCAGAGTAAATTTACCAGATTAGAGTACATTTAGTTTTACCCCCTGGCAGATAGGGCTTTCAAAGAAGATTAAATTAGTCTTTGCACGGCAGACTAAAATATGAATAATTTTTAAATTTTCTACGCATGGCAAAATGGATATAGTTTTTCTAGAATAGAAGGCTACATATTTGTGGACCACTGTTATCTTTCTGAATTATAGACCCAAAAAATTAACTGTCATTTCACTCTGATTAGAATTTATGGATTTTTCCATTAACACCAAAATTGATCCTCTTAAAATCATAATAATGGAAATGCTTGTTTTTCCTTTATGTTTTAGAAAATATAAAAAGTAGTTAAATGGATATATAAATATACATCAAAATAAATATATTTTTGTATCTATAATCCATACCTCTTTATCTTTCAGATTTCATCATAGTCACCTTCCCTATGCAGCCTTCCAACCTCACTCCTGAACCAGAGGGACTTGAACTGTCTCTTCTGACTTTCTCATATCCTCTCCCATGACCCACACACATACACACACCTTGAAACACCCCCTAACTGCAGAGGCTGTAGGGCCCTGGGCAAACTAACTCACAGAAGAAATTTATTTGAAGTCATATAACTTTAAAATACATACATATTACATATTTGTGTTTGCTTAAAGATAAATATAATAGTTTTAAATAGTTGCCTCCAAAATAATTAAAGTTTTTAGAAAAGCATTCTAAAGCCATTTGAAAGGCCTTATCTGGAATATCAAAGAGCATAGCAAATTACTATAGCACCTGAAAACACTTACTTGATTGTTTTACATTTGTCTATTTCTGTGTTCCCAATGCCTGGCACACTGTTCAGCATATAGCAGGCACTCATTAAATGGTTACCTCATACAATGGTCTTCAAGAATAGGTGTATGGTTGAAGTGAGGGCACATTGCTTAGTAGATAGGATCAACTGTGGTAAATTCAAAAGAGGGTGACTAGGAAGTTAATCAGCCTCAAACAGAACTAAGATATATGTAAGTTTTGTCTTTCTGGCTCCTTCCTTTCCCCAGAATCATCCAATGACCCAAAGGACCTAATCTATATCCTGCCTATCTTCATGGCTTTACATAAAAATCCCATTTTATCCAGGCCTGGTTCTCATCTCTAAAAGGGGACATGTTAAATCAGTTCAAAACAAGATTTTGATAACACACCACTCTTTACATGAGTATTTACCATTTAAAAATAAATCTCTTCCTTTTATACCCAAGTGTATAAGAGTATTACTTCAAGCACAGCTAACAGGTATGTCCAAAAGTTATTCTGGGGCAGGAGGTCTTTCAAATGCTCCTCAACTCACAACCCATAGATGCCCCTTCTGCTTCTAGGTACAGCTGGGCCCCATGAACAGCACATTTTGAATGAAAAACAAACAGATAAAAGGGCTAACATTTCCAGTCATTATTATTCCATCAATAAAATCCTTCAACTTTTTGACTTTCAGTGAAGTTAACGTGGTAGCCCTATTTGATTTCTCTCTTCCCTCTAGTTTCCTTAAAAACTTACTTTTTGCATCCATTTCTAGGTGCAAAGAGATGTGTATACAATTATCCGGGTAGTTCATAATTCTACAAGTGTGGTTTATAGCCTTTTCCTTGGTTGGATCCTCCTTCATGTTTGCTGACCTTCTAGTGTGGTTTTTTAGATCGCAGGTAACGTTATATTCTTCCAAGTGGTCAACTGTAGGAGCTACAGTGAAGTTAAAATGTTGACAAGGTGAATGAAAATCACTTGTCTTCGCTTCCATTGATCCTCTCATGATAAGAACTAGAAAGAGATTATAAAGCTGTTATTTGCAAAACAGTAATACCTAGTAAGTAAACACGTACAATTCAATACTCAATCTCTTCTTTCTTACACAAAAAAAGTAGAAACAAGAAGTTACCTGCACTAAAAATAATGATTGAAGGGCTTACATTTTTTCAGATTATGAAAACCAGGTGACAGTAGGGTTGCAATAGCATCAGAGCATCTTAAAGAAAACCCAGACATTTCCCTGATGACTTGTGGAGCCGATCTTATTTTGCAAAATTGTCACAATAATATTTCTCATTCCACATTACACTAGTTTGCTAAGGCTGCCATCGCAAAGTACCATCAACTGGGTCAATTAAGCAGCAGAAATTTATTGTCTTACAGTTCTAGAGGCTAGCCTTTTGAGATTAAGGTGTTGGTGCGATTGCTTCTTTCTGAGGGCTCTACGGGTAAGATCTGTTCCAGGCCTCTCCCCTAGGGTCTGGGGGGTTAGCTGGCAATCTCTGTCTGACCTTCCTTGGCTTGTAGAAGCATCACCCTGACCTCTGCCTCCATCTTCACATGGCGTTCTCCCTGTGTGCATGTCTGTGTCCAAGTTTCCCCTTTTCATGGAGACACCAGTCATATGGGAATACAGCCAACCCTAGTGACCTCATCTTAACTAATTACATCTGCAACAACCATATTTCCAAATAATGTGACATCTGAGATACTGGGTGTTAGGACTTCAATATAATTTAATGCATAACACACATATGTTAACCTAAAACGTTGCCACTACACCATAAATAGGTGGAGCCTACTATCTTTCCCTTTAAATCAGGGTGGGAGTGTTTGTGACTTGCTTGTAACAAATCAGATGCAGAGGAAGTGACACTGCATGGTGAGGCCAGAAAAGGTGAAGCAATTTCCACCTTGTTTTTTGGAACATAATATTGGAGCCTTGATCCATTATGGAATAGTCCAACAACTTAAGGCCATCATGCTCTGGAAGCCCAAACTAGCCCAAGTGGAAAGGCCACATAGAAAAGCTCTGAGAAAAACTGAGGAGAGAGAAATGCCCACCTGCCTTTAGATGCATCAGCCCCTCTCTACTTGTGTCCCAGTCACTGTCTAACTCCAATATAAAACACTCCAAGTTAGAAATGCCCAGTTAGGTCCATTCTAAATCCCTGACCCACCAAAAAAATAAAATAAAATAAAAAAATAAATAAAAATAAAATAAAATAAAATAATTGCTGTTTTTTTAAGCCATTGAGTTTTGAAGTGATTTGCTACACAGCCATAACAACTGGGATAACTTGTCAATGTACTGTTTTCACTTTTGTGTGTTAAATAATCCTTTAACCATCAAATGTATGTGAATTACAGTGGCATTTGATGGATTTTTAGAATAGATATTTTGCTTTTGATAACTCAAAGTAATCCATGAAGAGTAATATACCAAAGCCCTGTATGTCACTCATCAAAACCCACCCCACAGTGTGCTCCAGTGCCACTGAACTTAACATTGGAATATATTTTTAATGACTTCTTAACAGAATTAGGTAATTTATCCTTAATAAGTTTTATTCTCACTTTCCCTTTGTATTTACCATTTGAGGTTTGTTCCTGAGAAATCAAATCCATGTTTCCTTCGGACTCACAAACCAAACATAAGGAACACATTTTAAAGTCACTTGTGATGTCTTGGCAAATCCTGGTGAAGTTTTGAAAGTTGGAGTGATTTAGAAAGATTCTCATCATAGTCTGAGTTTCCCTTATGGGTTGCAGAAAAGTCATGAAAGAAAAATTTAAGGAGGAGAGGGAATAGGTGAGATTAGGTTGTAAACACACTTCCAGACATGATAGCTCCAACATGTTTCCTATGAAGAAAAAAACAAACAAAAAAAATAATTTCATTATGAAATTTTGAGTTTTGGACATTCAAATAGATATGCAGTAAGCTTCCAGCTTTTCTTAGGCAGATTCAGTACATTTCAGCTAATCAAGTGACAAGACTTTGTTTTCCATGAATTAACAATATCTACTCCACTTAAATATTTCTTTTTAAAATTTGGCAACATTCCCTATAAATTTTCAGGGAACGGAAGTCCTTATAGAGAAGTGCTTGGAAACTCTAGCATTTTAACTGTTCTTTCTTCTGGGAAAGTTTTAATGGACAAACCTTGGGTTCCTCTGTTCTACTTCATCTGTTCTAAAATAGAAGTTCAAGTCAATTTCATGGAGTTGAATAAAAAATAGAAAACTTAAACAGCATCTGTATGAATTTCCAAAGGCTACTGTAACAAGTTTATTCTCTTAAAGTTCTGGAGGCCAGAAGTTCAACACCAGTTTTACTGGTCTGAAATCTCGGTGTCCACAGGACCACGCTCCCTCTGAGGGCCATAGGGAAGAATCCATTCCTTGCCCCTCTTCCGACTTTTCATGGCTGCTGGCATTCCTTGGTTTATGGCTATATCACTCTGAGCTCAGCTTCCGTGGTCACACTGTCTTATCCTTTGTGTCTCTGTCTTGTCCTCCTCTGTCTGTGTCAGATCTCCCTCTGCCTTCCTTTTAGAAGGACATCTGTGATTGGATGTAGGGCCCACTAAATAATGCAAGATAATCTCCCCATCTCAAGATTCTTAATTTAAACACATTTGTAGAGAACTTTTTTCCTTATAAGGTCATATTTACAGGTTCTAGGGATTAGCACTTAATATTCTTGGGTGGCCATTAGTCAACCTACCTGAACCTCCAAAGATGAAATTTAATAGAGTCACATAATTTTTATTTTTGTCTGAAGACAACCATCAAATATGGAAATGATGGTATAATAGAACACGAAGTTCAAAAGACAAAGACTAGTGCTATATCTGTCATTAGCCAAGATACTTGGACAATTTACTTAATCTCTGTGACTGTCATTTTAGCAAAATAGAGACAATAACTCTAGATCCTACTCACCTCATGGGATTATAGTAGTGTCAAGTGGTATAGTGCATACAAAAACACTTTTGAAATTTGTACAAATGTATATTATTTAAAATGAAAACCCATATTCCAAAGTAAAAACTAAAAATTCATCCTTCACTTAGGTTAGAATTATTTGTGATTTAATTCACACGAGTAATTAAAGCTCACAATATAAAAATCGGAAATTCCTATTTATCAGTAGTGATCAGCTAAGGAACAGGTAACCTCTCTTTCAGATATTTCCAGTCTGACAGTCATTTGCTAGTATAAGAAAATAACCGACACGCTCAATTCCACCTTTATGTATCATTCTTTGCCATTTCTCATATAATCATACAGGGCAAATATAGTTTTTAAATTTTGTAAATAATGTAAAGCACAGTAGAATTATTCCATTTTTTAGAATTACCACTTCTAGTTATACATGTTGGTTGAAACTTCAAAGAAAATCAAGCTATTAAGCTATTAAGTTATATTAAAGCATTTTTTTACTTGTGGAATTTATACTTTAATAGTAATTCCATACATGTTTCATTAGTGATTTTATTTTTACTGTTTAATAAATTAAAAGCTCATTACCCTCTACACTTTGTGATATTGCTTCTGTGATAATTCACATGTGAATTCCGCTATAATCACATTTCATACTTGAGTTACTAGAAAGGTTTTTGGTGGGGAGATGGTATTTTTCTTAAATACACAGTTTTATAATGTCTTAAAATATCTATAAACACAGTTGTAATAAAATAATAACTAATCTTAGAAAAAGATTGTCATCAATAATGATGTCCCTAGAGGGAGACAGAAATGCACCATCTGATGGAATTCTATGATTTATAAGCTTTTTTATATCACCAAAGCACATGAAAAACTTATTTCTTGCCATCTTTCCATTTTCCTCACTGGAATTTTTCATCTTATGGAATTTTCAACTTTTTGAACTTATATTGCTATGATATGACCTAGAAGGGAGATAGAGATTTTTTACTGTTAACATTGCAGTCTTATCCTATAAGTGACCAACTGGGCTCTCTAGAATTGATAATATATCTTTTATATTTGGCTATAAGGCCATTTTATGATGGTTGTTAAGCCTTAGTTTAAAACAATTCAATTGGAAAAGAAATAGAGGCCATATCCTTTCCTGGTGTAATTTTAAGAAATAATTGAATTCTATTCAATCATTTTTGTTACCAGGTAGGTTACATTTTCATCTCCATAAACAAGTATTTATGAATTTAACTACTGCCATTAATAAACTGCTCCTAGAGACAGAAATGCATTTCAGAATTACTCCAGTCCTAAGGCAGCAATCTCTCAGGGTACAGTATTCTATATATAGAATACTAAATTGGAATTAGAAAAATACATTACAGTGTAGGACAAATGTCCAAGTCAATTTTTTTTAAGAAAAGCAATGAGTATGACTAAAGAAACATGAACTATCTTTATTTTCTTCTTAACTTTTATTATAAACATATATCATATATAAGCATATATAAAATGTATTGTGCCAGTTAAAGAATAATCAAAATAAACACCATGTATCTATCATGCAGATTAAGAAACAGGATATTAGCAACATCTTTGAAGCACTCTATCCCTTCCCATTCCTACACACTCCTTCTTTCCCAGAGGTTAACTATCATGAATTTTGTGTTTATCACCCCTTTGCTTTATCTTAGAGTGCTTCCAAAATGTATATATTCCTAAATAACATTGTTTCATTTAGCATATTTTAGAAATATATACATATATACAGAATATACTGTATGTATTCATAATGCCTTGCTTTTTTAGCTTAATATGTTTCAGTCATGTAGATGCATATAGTTGTAGCTAATGATTTGTGGTATTTATTTGAATAAATATACCACAATTTATTTATTCTTCTGACAGAGAGCGTTTGGGTTGTTTCTATTTTTTTGCTGTTTTGAATAATGCTGCTATGAACCATAATTCTCATTCATTGCTTGTGGGAATGTAAAATAGTACAACCACTTTGGAAAATAAATTTTTATTTTTTTTTAATTAAACATATACTTTGCCATATGACCCAACAATTCTACTCCTAGGAATTTACACAAGAGAAATAAAAACATGTTCACACAAATACCTGTACAGGAATTTTCATGGCAGCTTTTTTATTTATAATAGCCAAGAACTGGAAATAATCCTTTTAGTCACCTTTTACTGTCCACATTTATGCTTTGGCTTCTGTCTCCCACATATGGCCCTTTCAAACTGAGACTCCAGGCCACCAGGAATTGGTCGATGCTCCGGAAGTGACCAATTTGTTCATGGTTGCTTACCCATCCAGATTTGTAATTTCTAGCCATTTTCCCCTTTTGAGAAATTTTCTTATAAGTTCAACTATGTGTTTTTTTAAGTTTTTAGTGTTTTATCTCTCACATTTTATATTTTTGTGCTAGCAGTGTTTTTCAAGGTATGACTATAAAAACAGAAGTCTCAACTCTCTGTTGAGACTTCTCAAAAATACGTGAGAATTTATAATAAACCTTCACTGTTTGACAAACAATAAGAACTCCAGAAACTAATATTGTCAAGTCATATTTTCCCAATACCTAGGCTATTCCTTGGTCCACTAGTTGTGAGGAACTTTGGAAAAACATGGATTACTTCAGACAATACATTTTAGAAGTTGTTGCTTTAGGATATTAAATGTAAGCTAGGAAATATAAGAAAATTTGGCCCTAGAAATACAGCTAGTACAATCATTTTGGAGAAGTATTTGGTAGATTCTTATAAAATTAAATATACTCAGCTATTTCACTTCTAGTTACCTGATAGAAATGAAAACATATGTTCATACAAAGACTTGTACAAGAATGCTTATAGCAGCATATGTATAATAACCAAAAACTAGAAACAGCCCAATCGCTAAATGGACAAATGTGATTCAGTGAACTACTTAGCAATAAAAAGAAAGGAACTATTGTGCACTCAATGGATGAATCTCAGAAACATTACACTAAGCTAAAGAAGCCAGACCAAAAATAGATACTGTGTGATGATTCCATTTATATGAAGCATAAGAAGGCACAAAACTAACTCTGGTGGCACTGGTCAGAAAGTTGCCTCAGGGGTGGGAGGAGATTTGACAGGAAAGGGCAGGAGGAATCTTTCTGGGAGTGATGAAAATCTGTATCTCGTATAGGGTGGTAGTTACATAGGTGCATACCGTTCTCAAAATTCATGAAACTGAACACTTAAGATCTTTCCATTTTATTGTAAATTATGCCTTAAAACAAACATAGCCAAAAAATAAAACATAGCCATTATTTCCAAAGATTTTTCATCGTTATTGAATATTCTGTTGCATAACGCAGAAATTTAAAAATATTAGCTATCAGGATAGGAGAGAGTTCATTGTTCATGGCTTCGCTGCCTAATCTGCAAAGACATTGGTTAACATATGTTGTTTTCATTTAGTCACAGGCCTGCCTCTGTTAAAAACTGGCATAGACTCAACAGGGTATCGATTTCAGCAGCAAAAACTCAAACAATTGTATTTCCATTTTGGGTCCAGTAGTCAGTGCTTCTCTAGTGACATTAAGTGGGAAAGAGTAAAAAAATATATTGTGTATGGATGATACATCCACAGCATTAACCAGATCAGGAACAGGAGAGCCTAGAAAGGATATGGATTTGCTCATAGAACATTTGGGGAAGACAATTTAAAACATTTTCTGGGGGCAAGGAGCAAAGCTTTGGGTTACTTAGGTTTGGAACAGAAGAAAGAGTCTACTGGTTTTACTTGCAAAACAAGAGAATGAATGTAATGCACATTATGACATTCTCCAAGGGGAAAAGAAAAAAAGTGGTAGGAAAATGACTCAAGGTAAAGAGATGCGTATCTGTTAAGTAAAAGATTCTGTGAAATAAATTTCACAGGCTGCACAACCTAAAAGTTCTAGGTTGGTGATGACATTTTATGTTTCAAAAATGTAAAGGGAGGATAATAATGCCTGGCCTGCCTAAATCAAAAGATGGTTGCGAGGATCACATGAGAAATGCTTCCTTCAAGAATGTTTCTTTTTTACATGTATCATTGACAAATATCTTCTCCCATTCAGTAGGCTGCCTTGAAATACAAACAAAACAGACAAAGCCTCACTTTTATCTAGCTTACAAATTCTATTTGGAGAAATCAGACAACAAAAACATATACACAATCAGTAAGTAAATTCTATAGGTGATAAGTGCTATGGGGAAAAGAAACAGAACAATGTAAAGGGGAGATATCTTACCATATTAATGTTTTAGAGAAAGTCATTTTTTTCTGTAAAAAGAAAATATACAGAGAGAGCACTTATCCACCAATGCAATGAGACAAATAAAAAGCAGTCCAAGGAAGGATTGTTGGTATCGTAACCTAATGGATGGGGGAATAAGGCCAGTTCTGCCAAAACAGCGAAAAGCATTATGCTAAGCAGTATTTTTTTTTTTGCCAACACATATAGTCTAAAATATATATGTAAAAATATTGTGCCCCTTAGTAACCATTCTAAAACTAAAGATTCAGAATATTCAGTAAGAAAGAAAATCTTACAGCAAAGTAAATTTATCCATTTAGTTTTATTTCTTCTTTCAGAACGTTTTCAGAATACAGTCTCTTGAGAATGATGCCTAACCATGAATAAGTTGAAATATTTAATGAGCTTAAATGAATTATATGTAAAAGTACTTGGTGTATTACCTAGTACATGTATAAATATTTGTTAAATTAAAAAATTTTTTTTACTATATCTCAAAGCTTATCACTGATTAAGTTTTTAATGAGCCAGTCAATATGAGGAAAATAAAGTGCCCATTTTTGAGAACTAGGATAACACTTTCAGGTAAATTAATTGCAGTTACCCTTAATAACACTGTTTTTTGTACTATAGACATTAAATAATGTGTACAAATGCTCATATACTTTAGGGTTTATACTATAGTTCATAAGTAATTAAAGTTTCTTATCCTTTGTTTTCTTCAATTTCACTGCTTATTATACTACGATTTCCATCAGAAAGTGTAAAATGGAAGGGGAAATGAAAGCTGGTAATGTCAGTTAGGCTCTTAAAAGTAAGCAAGGAAGTCAAAACAGCTCAATAAAATTAGATTGGTGGTGTTTTCATCTGTGCTATTCCTGTCCCATGTTGCCACAAGCCATCAGGAATACACTCACACAACTCACTATAGTTCCTGCTTTCAAGAATTTCTGAGATATTTATATGAGTACGTTTTATTTGAAAATCAATAGTAATTGTTTTCTTAGAAAGCGCTTCTGCAAGCAGGTAAGAAGAAATATTAGGTGATCAGTAGAACTCTGACAGTTATTCCTCTTTGACTCAAAAATGGAAGGACTCTCTTCCCCCAGTCAGGCTGAGGAACATTCCCATCGCACCTTTTCACATTGCTATTTTAGTAATTACAGTATCGTATTTAATTATTTACCTGTCAGTCTTCCCCCTGACTGAAAAACTCCTTGAAGGAAGAACTGCCTTTCATTTTTATAACCCCAGGTTCCTAGTACAGGCAGGCACTTTTCAAGTGAAAGAATAAATAAATAAAAGATCACTGATATTTATGTGAGTTAACTAGGTCTCCTCTCTTACACATTTTTAGTCCAACAAAAGTAGTTTGATAAAGTCTCTTGTTTGGGGCAAATCAGGTCTCTTAATTGCATGAAGCTCTCCCTTTTATGTCTTCATTATCTCCATGCAATATAAATATATAGAATCATTATATTAACTACTGTATCTTAGGATAAGCTGCCTTTCAAATAAACTGAAAGTATTAGAATAAGTTCTCTTGCCAGTGCATACCCAAAGCAAACTCATTAAAAATCCCAAACACCATTGAAGAAGTTTCTCTTCTTTAGTAATTTTAGACTAAATAGCTTATGCTGTGTAATTATGATAATTGAATATTCCAAGTAATGATTATTCAGAGACTCAGGTACATTCTTGATGAAAAATGATCAAATACAGTGCTCTATTTTTAACACAGGCCTTCAGAGGGTTTATTATTTTGAAATCAAATCTATTAGACTTCTTGAATGCATTATTCCTTATTAAGATTCCTTTTGAATTCATTTGACGTGTCAAAGACAGGGTTTCAGTGAATAATTTATAAGTAAAAATCATTTATAATATTTATCCTAGAAATTAAAGTGACTAGAATGTAAGAAAGAATGGGGAAAAAAAGACACAAGTAACTGATAGGGAGGGCAAGACTATACAGGAGAATCTCAAGGTTAATTTTAACACTTCTAGAGCACTCTTAGCTTATCATCTAAATAATTTTGACAGATACTTTATTTTATAAAATATAGTGGTTAACAAATCAATTCATACAGCAACTATTATTGTGATTTAAAAATTACTTTGAAAAAAGCAAAATAATGATGTGCTGTTAGTTTAATCAATACAAAATTGTATAAAAGGAGGTGATATGAACTTATTCTTGATGAGCCATAAATCATTATAAGAAGAAATAAATAAAAGCATTATTATTACATGTGTAAAACATTTTGTGTAATAATCAACTTTTTGTTTACGGTGGCTCTGTGCAAAATGTCTTCTACCACAAAGTGACATCAAGATAAGAAGGTGATTTTCAAACATTTTTTCTTGTTGGCTCCAAGGAGGGTTCCTTTGAAATGAAATTCCCAAATAAGCTTATCACCCCAAAGAGTCCAAGGATATATATATATATATATATATATATATATATATATATATATATATATATATCTTGAAACAGGAAAAGAGAAATGGCTATTTTAAGTTTGAGAAGGCAGAAAAGGTAGTATTGAGAGCGGAGATAATCAGTTATGAAACTAAGAGAACAAAAATTATTATCAATCATGGTAGTCCAGTTCTCATAAACACTAACCAATAGTTAGCAAATAGTTTCTTAAATCTTTTTTAGGTTGATTACCTGGTTTTCAATAGATCCAACTTGATTTTTAGAGATGCTAGGTATATCAATATGACCTGCCTAACTATTAAATGAGCTTAATATCAGCTCACAATAGTTTAAAATTTGAAATAGGTTATCTCTAGTCCAATTTTAACTATTCACTTTATGTTTTTACTCAGTGAAATCAAGCATTGAAAATATATGCAATAATTATTTAAGCAACATAATGCCAGAAAAACCAAGAGACATTTGAAAAACTCAAGCGTTCACAAAATTGTACACTCATGGTATTTATTTACCAAAAATATTTTCATCTGGCTACTTAGCATTATGTATATGCAACATTAAATATTCATTGCAATATGTCATCAAATATAATTAGCAAAGACATTTTACCTGTCCACTCAGTATTATGTATATGCAACAATAATTATTGTAGCAAATCATCAAATTTGATTTTAATCAAATTCATATAACTTTTCAATGATAGAATACAGCATTTTCTTTTTACTTTTTCTTCTTATAAATGCTGGGGAGCACAGTTGTAATCCAAACAATCACATTAATATATTTTCAAATCTTCTACTGACATATAAAAATAGTTTAAATTTACATCTATTTATTTTTCTACCCTAGGTTTCCAACAATCATATCACAATGCTCTGAAATATCCAGAGTTCATTTTGTTCCATTTTTGTCTAGTTACAAATATTCACACACATAAGCCTGTTTAAATTTGGATCCACCTTACTCTAATTGTAGTTTGAAAATATCTAAATACTCTTGTTTTACAAAAACAATAGTAAGTTATTTTGTGAAATAGTTGATGGAGGGAATTCAAGCATTTTTAGCATAATAAATGTTATTTTCTTTATAAAATAATTCCAGAATATAAAAACATACTTAAAACTGTTTTTGAAGGAAACTGTTTCAAAGAGCAAAATCATGCAATGAGACTATTGTAAACATGATGTTTGAAATTTAGACTACAAATTTGAAATACTTTTTTACATTTCATTATTGTAGACCACAACAATTAAGTGCTATTAATAAGATTATTATGATATGTAACAGTCCACTGAAATAGCAATCTTATTTTATTAGCTTTTCAGACATACAGCTTCAGCCCATGCTGTGTGTATCCAAATGAAGACACTTCCTGTAACCATTAGCTGTCCTCATTTTTAAAAATTAGAAAAAGAAAAGATAAATTATAATTATATACTCACCTTTTGGTGTCTTGAAATAATCTGGCAAAATTAAAATGAATGTGATCACTATTGCCAAAAGTAATTTAACGAGGGCTGTTTTTGTCATGTCTATTCACATGACACATGGGTTTCCATCCAGTACATTGATGGCATGTTTCTTCCTGCTTCAAGTTTCATTTTTGTGGTACTGTAAGTTTACGCAATTTACCTCATACTTCCTTTTGGGTAATACTTAAAAAAAAAAAAAGAGGTCTTGAACTGAGACTTCTTCATTCTGAGTCACTTGACATTAAGAAAACTAACTGCGAATAAGCACTTTCAAACTATCTTCTAAACAAGATAAAGAAACATCTCAAGAAGCAAAGGGGTCTTGTCTTCATCTAAATTTGAAGCTATTTTCCCTTGTTTACTAATCTGTGTGAGTAAATATAAACCCACACTATACTCACCAAAAATAAAATGATGAACGTTAGTAGTGTTCAGGTTGTACGAAAATCATTCATTCATTTACTTATTAAATGATTGTGGATCACTTTTTTTTTTTAAGATTTTTATTGGGGAATTGGGGGATGGGAACAGTGCTGGGGAATTGGGGGAAGGGGAACAGACACGTTGCTGCCCTTTTGTTCTTCAGTCTAGTTGTGGAGGACGTTGCTTCACTGGCCCAAGTTGGCACCATCATTGCACTCTTCCCAGGCGAGGCAGATCAGTAGCCGGCTTCTGTATGGCCGCTCACTGCGGCTGCTAGCCGCTCACACTGGCTGCTGGCTACACACGGTAGCCCATGGCCACCCACTGCAGCAGGGGCTACAGCACACACCGTCGCTGGGGACTCACGGCAGCCCAGCTCCAGGTTGAGCTGTTTTTCAGCATCTTGGCTGTAGAGGGCAGTGTCACTGGCCCTCATATGTGGGATCTGAACTGGGGCCCTCTGGCGTTCCAAGCCAGCTCTTAACCAAAGCGCCACTCAGCCGGCCCTGTTGACCACTTTTAAGAGCCAGGAAGGCACTGTGATAGATTCCAGTGTTCATAACACAGCATGTCTAAAAGACAGTAAACAGTACAAAAATGTAAAGATAAAGACACATGCAAAATTTTAGTTCTACTTCATTACCCCGTATAAAAGCAGCAGGATAGGACTCATTATCATTATGTCTATAAACATTGTTATTGTTACACAATCCACGTTTTCAGTTCCCATTTCAAAAAAAAGATCTTTCATTATGAAAATCCCAGTGAAATATAATAAATAAAATGAAATGTAATATCATTTAGAATATAAATGAAGAGTAGCGCAAACTCATGGTGAATAAAAAATAATGTGCAAGCAAATATTTTTATTCCCTTGTTCTTGTTAATCTGTTTTAAAAAAAATGGTGTCTGATATCTCCATTTTCTCCCTGTTCATTCTCTTTAATACACCCACTACCCATCCGTTTTCATTTATCCTATGTCTTGTTCTTACCCACCCCATCCCGGGCTTTATGGAACAATGGGTGAGTGGGGAGTGAGGAGGCAGGGATATAGTGAATATATTGTGTGCATGTATTGTGGGTATAAATTTACCATCTTTTCTTCTGATTGGATGTGGTGATTTGATAGACAGATGAGAATCATGGGTTAAGAGACTTTAGGACCTGAGTCTAAGAATGGTTAAAATGGGAGTAGGGCTTCAAACATTAGACTTATTTTATAAACAACATCAAAAATAATTCAAAGAAAGAGAAAAATTGATGAGATTCATTGCCTGCACCACTTACTGGATTGAGACATATTAGAATAAGGTCCCAATGCATCTACAGTAGAGATGCTGGTGGGGAAGAGTGTCGGAAAAGTCATGATGCATGTTTGCGACACATGGCACTAGTTCATTTTAGAAAGTACTAGAGTCATTCGCATCTATGTTATTGCTATGTCATTTGACACTTGACAGTTCTAGCTTTAGTCTGCAAAAAAATTGAGCAATTTGGTTGAGTTTTGGAGATTTTACAACAAGTTGAAGATGGAAGACCAAACTGTGCATTTTTGCCATATTTTACTGTTTTATTTCCATAAAGGGAAGGACGTGTGTCAAGCTTGTGAAAAGTTGCATAAAGTTTATGGTGACAATGCCCTACAAGAATGTCAGTGCCAACAATTCCGTGCTGATGGTTTTGATCTCAATGACACTCCTCGGTCAGGGAGGCCCACCGAGGTTGATGACAAAATAAAGGCAATGATCGAGTCAATCCCACATTACACAACACAAGAGATTGCAGAAACATTGAAATCCATCATTCAAGCATTCACAACCACCTGAAGAAGCTGGGATACATAAGCAAGCTCGATATTTGGGTTCCACATGAGCTCAAAGAAGTTCATTTGACGGCGTGTATAAACATCTACAATATGCTCATTAAACATGAGGAAGCCAATCCTTTTTTGAAGCAACTGATAACTGGTGATGAGAAGTGGATTGTTTACAACAATGTGGTGCGCAAACAGTCTTGGTCCTAATGTGATGATTCGCCTCAAACAACATCGAAAGCAGATATTCATCAGAGGAAGGTTATGCTCTCAGTGCAGTGGGATTTTAAAGGTGTCGTGTTTTTCAAGCTCCTACCGAGAAACCAAGCAATCAATTCAAATGTGTGCTATTGGCAATTGGACAGTGTGGACGAATTCATCATCCAGAAACATCCAGAGCTTGTTAATTGTAGAGGAGTTGTGTTCCATCACAACAACGTGAGACCACACACAAGTTTGATCACCTGTCAAAAATTACTGGAGCTTGGATGGGATGTGTTGCCACACCCACCATACTCACCTGATCTTGCACCATCAGACTTCCACTTGTTTCGCTCTCTTCAAAACTCCTTGCATGGTATAACGTTCAATTCAGATGAGGCTGTAAATCAGCATCCTGTTCAGTTTTTCACAAATAAAGACAGCTCCTTCTATGAACGAGGAATTATGAAGCTCACTGAAAGGTGGCAAAAGGTTATCGAAGAAAATGGGCATCTTGAACACCTAGAAGACAAACTTCTCTAGCAGTTCCATGGGTCCTTTGTCAGTCATGGGCTGACCCATGTGCTCTGCACCTGGCTTCCCTGGTGCTGTACAGATAGATGGTAGGTGTCAGGAGACCCGTCTAGGGTCCCTAACTCCCAGGCTACTGCCTAGCTACCCAGAGGATATAGAGGATCAGTGTCTCACAGCTGGCCTGAAATCCACTTACTGAACACCATTGTGCCATCTTTGATTTAGCAAATCATGAGAAAATTATGATATACTTATCATATTTAAATCGAATTTTCATAAATACTTTTTATCATTCTGACTATAGCTACTAACTGCTTAAAGTGTTAGCAGAACAATAGCTGATGACAAGTTCCAAATATCCCCTGGGTCAAATCCTCCAAGATTCAATGACAAGGATTAAAATCAAAAGGTCAAAATATCTTTTTCTGACTGTTATAATTCACTCACTAAAATATTTTATAACTGAAATTGCTACAGAAGGTACATCATTAAATATTTGCATTTTGAACACCAGCAATCACTAAGATTTAAGAATTAAGCTGTAGTATTTGTAGGTAATTCAACTTAAAATGACAGTGCCTTACAAACAAACATAGGTTGGGCTAATTCTTGATTTTATTTAACTTCTAGTTTTCTTTTGACGATAGAACTGAAGCAACAGAACAATTGGAAACAAACCTGGAGTAGACAAGCATCTAGTGGTGCGTAAGAAATTTTCCTTAACAATGTTATTTGTGGCTTTGATTTATATATTGAGAAGGACAGAGATGTAGCGAGCTCCAAACCTTTAAGTGTGTGACTCTGTTAGAACTTAATGTGGATATTTCCCCTGAGGAACTGTGGAAAGCGAAGGCAGCTGCAAAGCTTGAGAAGTGGGTAAGGGTTCTCCTTGCTGCCTACTGCTCTTGCTTTGAGGTCCCTCCTTGCATCTGTGCTCTCCTTTCTTTCATACTTCTGTACCATCACCTGTCCATCAACCAAACATGGAAACTCTGCAGAATGTTATTTCTAAATGTTTCATTTGATTTTTAATAGTCTACATATACATCATAATTCATTTAACCATACTCCAATTATATCATTTAAAATTTTTTTACATAGCAACACAATGTGAATATTTATGTACATAAACCTTTGTGTTAAGTCTGATTATTGAGTAGAATTACTGGGACAAACAGTATAAAGAATTTTGAAGTAGTTAATTCATATAGACAACTGTCTTCCAAAAAGTTGTGTCATGTACACTCTACCTACAATGTATAAGAGTGCCCATAGATCACTTCAACACTGGTCATTTTATTCTTTCAAGTTTTCTCAATTTGAAAGGGAAAATAAAGTAACTTTTAAAAAAAATTTGCATTTCTTTGATTGCTCGTAAGTCTGAACATTTTTCATATTTGCTGGCAATTTGAATTTCTTCTCTTATGAACTGCCTGTTTATGTCTTTTATTGGAGCATTCATATCCTTATTGTTGCTTTATAGGCCTTTTTCTCTATAGTGAATATGCATCCTTTTCTATGTATGTTACAAATATTTTTCCCAGGTTGTCATGTTCCTTTTCATTTTGTACATGGTGGGTTTTTTCCTCCCCAACTATTTTATGACGGAATGTGAAATATGTACTGTAAGCAGATTGTATACTTAAAAGTTTATGCTGAGAGACACAGTTCTTTCTCATTGTAGTTATAATATTATACCAAATTATTCATAGTTTACCAAGTAGTTTATTCTTCAATGCATATTTTACTTGCAGCCTGATTTTGGCTGTCTGGAATGCACACTAACAAACTAGAAAGCCTGGCTATTTCCCTAACAATGGAAACACCTGGCCCTCTAATAACTTGTTAGAGAGAGTTGATAATAATGGTAATGGTTCACAAATGCATAGTTCTGTTCAGCAACTTGCATAGCACCTTCACAAATATTAGATTATAAAAGGAGAATGGCTCCAAATCTGCAATTACTCACCCACTATGGGTTTCTTCTTTCTACCTCAATAAAGGAATAAGAAATTACTAAATCTAAAACACAAAGGATTGTTGCTACTGCCTTAGTGTTTAACTTTCCTAAGTCATATATTTCATATTGGAGACTCAGGTTCTCAAAATACTTTAATGTAGCTATACTTCTA